GTCTCTGTCTGTTCTACCTGTTTTATTGCCCATGCTGGTTTTGAACACTGGACTTGAGGAGCCCCTGAGATGGCCTGTACGTCAGCCCCTGCCTCCAGGTTGCCACCCTGCTTGAGTTCCTGTCCTCACTGCTTTAAATGATGAGCTGTCCTATGGAACTGTGAGTGGCAGAACCCTCTCCTCCTCCCCACCTGCCTTTTGGTCGTGGTGTTTCATCCCAGCAATCTTAGCCATAACGAGTACGGTGGATATGACCAAAATACATTGTAAACAAGTATGAAAGCCTCAAAGAACATAGAAATCAAATGTACTGTTGAGCGAAGCCCACCTAAGGGATGTGTATTATTATAAAAAAGAATAATTTTATAGACCGAAACTTATCTCAAGCATAGCCAAATCAATTATGAAACACAAAGAAACCAATTTCTATCATTATAATTTTTAAGCTAACAGCTACATGGCACCATGATAAATTAAACCAAATGAAAGAGGAAAATTCATTTTTAAATCTAGCTTGGCTCAATCCATACCTCTTTGGAAAGTGATGGAAGGGTGTGCACAAGCTGCCTGAACCCTCGGAGTGTCTGCTTGCTGAGTGCTTCGACTGGAGAGCAAAGTGCCCTGGAAACGTACAAAGTGCACAGAACTACCCAGCAGCTGAAGCGTTTCTCATTCACTTGCCTTGTCCCCAAGGATTCAGTTGTAAAATTTCCAACTTTTGTTTAAAGTCCATTATTGGGTAGGATTTGTTTGAAACAGGATCTTCCTTACAAATTCTTGGCTGTCATGGAACTCACAATGTAGACTAACTCACAGAGCTCCACCGGCCTTCTGGGCGCTAAGATTAAAGATGTGTGCCAGCTGCCCAGGGTCAGAAGACTTTTACTGATTTTTAGTGATGCCCACCCCAGGCTCAGTTATGACATGGGGTCATGGCCCTGACTTCCAAGAAGCTCTGTAAGCTTTGTTAGCCCAGTAAGCTAGCAGGCAGTGGTCCTGCCATCTGTGAGGGATGAGTTCCAAGATCTTCAATAGCCTCTTCAAGACACAAACACACAGATTTGCTCTGTAAACAAGACAATTAAAACGCTAACAATGGAACTATTCATAAAATACAGCACTATGACTGTATCCTGGAATAAAGCTTCCATGAATCGGTCCCTAAACGTACTGGGTTGTGCTTCCGGCTTTTCACTTGACGTGTTTTTGCGGCTTCACCAGTCTCACTGATCTGCACTTTGGCACCGTTAGTAAGTTAAAGGGGACTGGGTCCCTGGAGCCCGAGCTCTGCAGTGCCACCACTGTCTATCTGATTAGCAGGATGGCTACGTGACTGATGGGCAGGTGCCCTGTCCAGCGGATGTGCTGCCCCAGGGGCAACTCACACCTTAGCCACATGGAACCAGATGGCACCAGGTCTCATTGCCCTGAGGAGACTGACAGGCAACTTAAAATGAGGTGCTTCTGGAATTTTCCATTTGCTCTCTCCTGACATCAGTAGACCTTGAGTCATGAACTGAAGTTACAGAAATCGCAACAGCGCGCGGAGACTCAGTCCTAGCGACTGCTGAGGGAGAGGCATGGATGTGATCTTCTGTTGTTGCACACTCGTCAGTCCCTGTACTGGCTGGCCTTCAGCTGCTGCTTCAAATGTTGAAGTTCTGCCTTTAGAAACATAAATCCTAAAATTCCTGTTTCCTTCCTTCCTTTCGTGCTGCAGGGAAGTGAATTTAGGGCCTCACACATGCTAGGCGCCAGGCTCACACTACATTCAATCAACGAGTACTTCTTAAGCTCTCAGAAAGCCCCAGGCTCCGAGAACACAGCGGGAGAGATGGCTTAGCCCGCGAGAGCACATGCTACTCCTCTGGAGGACCCGTGCAGCTCATAGCACCCACGGCAGATGACTCACAACTGCCCAACTCCTGCTCCGGGGCTCTGACACCCTCTCTCGTAGAGCGGCCATCTGCACTTACACGTGTACACACACACACACAATTTAACATAATAAATCTTTTTAAAGATAAGTCTTTCCTTTCACAGAGCTAATATTCTGGTGGAGCAGATATCAAATACATTTGCATGCACTTAAGGAAAAGCCTGTTTAAAGTAAGTAGCTTGTAGCACACCCCTAAGTTGTCAAACAGGAAGACATGCCATCAAATGACTATTTTCTTTCTGGACAACATGATGTTATAAGTTATCCTTAAAGAAAAGCATTTCGGATAAACCACATCATAGAAGCAAAAGATATGTTCCCAGCAGAGACACACACGGCCTATACAAAAGTTCATGTTACCCACAATCCCAGGGTCTCAGAAAGGTTGGCCACTTCCTGCCTCCTGGGTGAATAGCCAACTTTAAGAATTTTATTAGATAGTGGTTTTGGCCCACTGCCAGCTACACACCTATTCTGGCCAGCCTGGATCTGGCCAGCGGAGTGCACACAGGACTTTCCTGTGGCATTTTGCCTTTTGATCCAGCCCTGGCTTGGACCACGACTCACCTGCCCCTGTTGAATCCGCTCGGTTTTCTGGCACTCTGTCGCCATCTAGTGACCAAAGACCTCTCCTTTTGTCCACCGTCTTAGGACCCGGAAGTTAGTGGCCCCTAGACACAGTTCAATAAAAACTTTTTACATTTTTAGGTAAAGATCTAAATAAAGTAGCGGGGTTTTTTTTTTGCAAAAAAAAAAAAGTAAAATAACATCAAATACGAGAAAAAATATCCCAGTCTGTCGGCCTCCAGAACAGCTGTCCCTTATGCTGCTTGCACACTCAGCTCTAATGCGATATATATATATATACATACATACATACATACATACATACATACATACATACATACATTATGACACAGTTGGTGGTGGTCTGAAAAGGTGGGGAGTTACAGCTAAGCTGAAGCCTGCTGAGTCTCAGACTTAACCGATGCCTTATTGAGAAGGGGACGAACGTAATAGATGCGTGTGGCAAGCAACGGCAAATATGTTATGTCTTTTTCTCTAAACAGGTACTTCTTCTATCCATGTTCTTCAGAAAGACAAGATGTTAAACCAGATCAGAGCCCTGAAGGCAGCCGAAATAAACCCCTACCACAACCTCGAGGCTGGGTTAACCAATATGCTCAAGCCGATAGATGATTTCTGCACCAAGTTCTTTGTGGGGACAGAGGTAAGCTAGAATTGTCTGGTTTTTAAACTACACCCCCCCACACACACACACTGCTGTAGTTTTATAACCTTTAGTTGACATGTTTGCTGCCTGAAGGCGTTTTCATGTTTCACTATGTTCACTTGTATTTAAGAGTTTTGACTGAGATGCCTTGTAGACTCAGGTCTGAAATCTCCTTAATGGGCTGGGGACGTAGTTGGCCGAGTGCCTGCCTAGCATGCATGAGGCCCTGGGCTCCATTCGAGCACCACATAAACCAGGCCTGAGAGCACACATGGGTGATCTCAGCACCCAGGAGGTGGAAGCAGGAGGCCAGAGGAGCACACACTCAAGGTCGCCCGGATCTGGGTGACCTGGAGCAGGTTCACAGTGGGCCCACTGCCTCGCCCCACTGTCGCTCACCTCACCGCCTCGGTCTCCCATCTGTGTGACTGTCTCCTTGGCTGCTCCACATTGGAGGTTTCTGTCTTTCCCTCTCCTTAAAACAGCCATAGGTTAGCACCGGGCTGCACAATCCTTAAATCCGAGCTGAGATGTGTACTTCCTGTTCTCAGCTTTAAAAGGTAAATGCTGTGATGTATCGTTCCTCTCTGCCTTGTTCCAGGTCTTTGTTACATCCTAACTTGGTTCAAACGCTGAGAACAAATCACTGAACGACCCAAACCTGTTCTCGCCCAGCCACTCACCGTCAGAAAGTTAGGAAGGCCAGCAAACACGCATAGCCAGTCTCCACAGCCAACCAGGTCACGCCTATCACCATGTGGACATAAAGCAAACGCGTTTATTTCATCTTGGAATCAAATGCAGTAATAACAATTTTGAGCCTCTCTTTCCACTTGGCACACTGAATTCTCATGTGACTTGTTGCTTTTATTTGTCTTTGCGCCCCCCCCCCCCAGTCTTAGCCCAGGGCTGCAGAAAACAAGGTCTCTTGCCTCTGAACTTACTGCATTTATCCAGAACCTGTTATCTTTCTAGGAAGGCGAAGTGATATACACAGACTGGAAAATGGAGAGAGACTCTGAAACTGGACGGTTTATGCGTAAGTTTTATGGGCTAGCTCTCTATTAATAAGATCTTCCTGTTGCTATTGGCATATGTTAATTATATGTAATAACGGGATTCCTTATGGCATTTTAATACACATATAAAATGCATTTTTATCATCACCACTCCTCATCAGCTTCTCCTATCTGCTCCCAACTCCCTTCATCCTCCTACCTGGTCCTTATTACTTTATTTATTAATGAGCCAATGAGCTTCATTGGGCTTGCTTACTGGTCCTTGGTTCAGACTTCTTTACAGGAGCATGGCCTTCTTTGCCAGTGTCTACATCACTGAAGAGATGTCATACCTTCTCCAGCTACCATGGACTATCCTCAGATATTCAGGAAGCAGCAGGGTTTGGTGAGCCCCTGCCTGACTAAAAACCTTCATCTGCCTATAGTTCCTCAGGAGAAATGGGGCCTCGTGGGTCAGCTCTCCCTTGCTTGCCCTGATGTTATGCCAGTAATTACCAGTGCCGTGAGATCAAGAGTGTAGCCACCGCATGTGTTCTGAAGACCACCTTCTACCTCTCTGTATTCCTTTCATCTGTGAAGCTTTGGGGGTATTGCTATACTTATGAGCTCATTCAGGGATGCCCATGTGGACATGTGTGCTGCATGCAGACACTATGTATCATGGTGGCACCATTCAGTCCTGTGACCCACAGTAGAGGATTCAATGCCATGGCAAACGTGACTTCCTCCTGGTCTCATACATGCTCCTGGAGTCCCATCTCCTCTTACAGCCAGATTTTGAAACTATTTAGCAGTGGAGGACCAGTCATTTATTTTAAATGACCTTTATTCCAGTTTGATGCTGTGGGTTGGACAATGGTGAGAGGAGATGAGGAGGAAGTGCCCTGTTGGCAAGGCAAACAGATGCTAGTGTTACGGCTGTCAGCAAAGAGAGAGTGCCGGAGAAGCCCAGAGAAGAGTTTCTTTCTTGGGCTGTTAAGAAATGGTCCCACTTGGACCCGCAGTTGAGCTGAGTCCTGTCTTAGTCAATGTTCTACGGCTGTGAAGAGACACCAGGACCACAGCAGCTCCTATAAAGGAAAACATTTAGTCGGTGCTGGCTTACAGTTTCAGAGGTTTAGTCCATTGTCATCATGGCGGGATGCATGGGGGCATGCAGGCAGACGTGGTGCTGAAGAAGGAGCCAAGGGTTCAATATCTGGACTGGCAGGCAGCAGGGAGAGAGAAAGACACTAGGTCTGGCTTGAGTATTTGAAGACTCAAAGCCTATTCCCAGTGATACACTTCCTCCTAAAGGTCACACCTACTCCAACAAGGCCACATGTCCTGTCCTTTATAGTTACCTCCGTATGAGCAGATGGAAGTCATCTCATTCAAACCACCACAGTCCTGAAGGGTGGAGACTTTTCAGATTAAACGAGGAAAGACCCTCCTTGTCCACAGAGCAACAAGGGCAAGCGCAAGGGAACCCAAAGGAAGCAGGAAAATTCAGGGCCACAGCATAGCAACCCAGAGGTCAACAACAGCCCACAGGGACAAAGAACTCTGACAGTATCAATGAGATTTCCAGAGCCAACCGTATTTAGAAAAAGCGCCTGGCAAGAGAGTAGAGGCTGGGCCAGCGGAGCTGGCTATTGCCTGTGGAGGTCCTAACGGAAGCAGGATGCACAGTCACAGCGGCCTAATAAGAGCAATGTGGACTAGCAGGCAGGCATGGTCACAGCCACATAGCGAAAAACGTGGGCGATGTGAGGCTCTCTACGCCAACATTTCCTGGCCAATGGGATATGGGTGGTCAGGATGGAAAGGAGCTGCTTCTCATTCATTGGCATTTAGTCCGTTCCCAGCAAACTAGAAGAGCTTTAGCCCAGGGCCGTGGGAGCTCCTGAAGCCATCAGCGGAGCGTCATGAGACAGGCAACGCTGAGCCAGCCTGCTGTTCCCATTGAATAATGCTTGCAGGGTGGGAGGATTGGTACGCAGCTGCCCTCAGTTGTAATCCATGTGCCCTGTTGGCAGTCCGTGGGCTGCAGATGCTTTCCTTGTGAGCTCCCACCCTGCATCTGTCATAAACACCAGGATGTCTCCTGGGCAAAGGCAGAGGGAGCAGCCACAACTTTGTCCCTCCTCATCTGCCTAGCTCTACACAAGCAAGCGGGAGAATTCCATCCTCTTAGGGGGAAAAAAGGCAGATTACCCCAAATGAGATGGGGGTGGGGGTCACGTTAAATATTTCCACATGATCCAAGGACCAAGTCAAGAGATGCAGATCTGAGTGAGGACAGTTGGCATAAACCATTGTATGCAGAAGACCCTTAAACTGTGCAGTTAGCACATACACATGCCAGGTACCCTTCCAGCACTTTCCACGGCTAAACACCTGGCATTGTCACAGCAGCCCTGTGGGATCGCTGCCTTGGGCGGCAATGCAGTCTTTGAATGCAGGCAGTCTGCCGCCAGTCTGTGCCTTTTGATTTTGTTATAATTGTCTTTACCCGACCTGGCCTGGGGGCTATGACACTCCATTTAATAACTTAAGGACAGCTCCGTTCATTGTTGAAAGTCACGCTAGTCTTCCAAAGGACACCAGAAAGAAAAGATTAGCGTAGGATGATATTAACAACAACCCACCTTACCATTGTGGATAATGTCATAGCTGATCAGACAGTTTCCGAGGGTTTCCAGGCCCCAGGACAGCCCTGCTCACTCAGAGACAGTGTGGAGGGAAACTTCCTCAAGGGTAACCCTGAAACAAACAAAAACATCCACAGAAACAAAGCCCCTAGTTGTCTCATGCGTCTTCTGCCTTACAAGGAATTTTCTAGATCACTCAAGAAGGCCTGGGAAATATGAGTTCTATGATCTCTTCAAGATGAAGCCTCAGAAAGAGGATCTCTTGCTTCCTGCCCAGAAGAGCCACCATTCTTATTAGTTTATTATTGTTGTTGAGATCAGTCTGTTCTATGTTGTATAAAGCAGTGGCCCTTCAGACCAGGCCCTGACCGACCGACGAGACTCCTCTTACACTCAGCCTGGGGGTGAGTTTTAGGATGGAGGATGACATTTGCAGCGTGATGGGCATTCAAATGGCATCTGTCTGGTACCACACACAGTGCACAGACTGATAAATTATTATCAGTGAGAGTAGAAAGAGTGCCACCCTGTAAATGTATCAGGGTGACTTGGGACAGTAAGGAAACAAGGGCAAATTTAAAAAAAAATCAGGGAAACTAGCCCCAAGAACTTATCAGACATTTCAGACTTAGGAAAGGCTGTAATTCCCTCACCTGCCCTCCCCATGCCCCAAAAGGGAGGTACTGAGCCCTGCAGAGACCATGGCTCCTCCAGACCTGTCAAGGACCCCGTGCGGGGAACTCCCAGACTATGCCTGGGGCTTCAGCTTAGTTCATTCTCGTCTGATACGGTCTCCTAGATAAAACTGCTACCTGCCTTCCTGTCCACCCACCTAGACCTTCTTCCCTTCCCTTGAGCTGGACCCAGCCCTACCCTTTTGCCTTTGCAACTGGACTGAAGTGGACAGCTCAACTCTGACCCTGAAGCCTGCATCCACAGCCAGCAAGTCAGAACAGCTCCTTTGACTTCTGACTAACTTCGGTTAGTCAGCTCACCCCCACAGGCCACATTTCCTTCAGTCTCTCCTGTTTCTTGGAACCCTTGAGACCTCTTGAACCCCACTCTTTTTAACCCTTTGTAGTCATCCTGCAACCCACTGTTAATGTAAAACCATCTCTCACCTCTAAGGGGCTAAAAGAAAATTTATTCGAGAGCCAAATGAGAATGAGAATGATCATGGTCTGAAAACACAGACTTGAGCCACCCGAAGTTCCCTTTCAAATATGTTTTTTTTTTTTCCCAAAAAGTTCTTGAAATTTTTGTTGCAACAAAGCAAAGAAAGTCATAAATCCCAACACTTTTCAGGTCCATTGCTGGACACACCAGGGAGCTGTGTCACCGCAAAGGGCGGGGACTTCTGCTCGCAGCCTCAGATGGTGCCTGACGACACCACTGTGGGGTCAGTGAACATAATGACGAGGACCGGAAGTAGGAACCAGGCAGTCACTTTAGGGGCAAGGACCTTGAGGCGAACAATTCCATTTTTGTCCTTGGCCAGAAGCAGGAAATGTCCACGCTTTCCAGCCCCTGAGGTCCAGTGGAGAGTTCTGGTTTCTTATCGCTTTCTGAATGCGCACCTCTGCCTGGAAGCTACACCTGAGCCTGTGACCTCAAACTCCAGTCCTGACGCTGATCCCTTCTGGTGAACAGCTTTGGGATTAGACTTCTGGATGTTCATGGTGGGAAGGGGTTATATCAATTCCCAGTTACAACTCATCTCTTAAATGGTCTTAGGGTCTCTGCTCTTGAGGGAAGAATATTACAGGAGCATAGTGACCCCTTCCTACTAGAACGTCTCTGCCTCTAAATAGAAACACGGTGTTCTGATCTGCTCCAAAGCTGGGAATCCAACCCAGGACCTCTGGAAGAACAGCCAGTGTGCTTAACCACTGAGCCATCTCTGCAGCCCGGGATGAATAGTATCCCATCACCTACCTAGGCCACATTTTGTTTGGACATTCATCCACGGTTATTTCCACCTTTCTTCTACTGCAAATGGTGGTGCCGTGAATGTGGATGGACAAATAGCCTTTCAAAGCCCTGATTTATAATTTTGGGAGGTCCCTTTGTCTTTAATATCCCTTCAGTGTTGAGGCACGGGGGGGGGGGGGGTCAGCCCTCACATACCTTTAAAATGATGAGCTGCAGAATCAATTTGCAGTTTTAGTGTAGATAGAGTCATTGCAGCTTAGGCCCCGTAGGTCTTTGCTTTTATGGTCATCCCTGGAGTCTGGGGCAGGGAATGAAGAACATTCAGGTCAACCCTGGCAGATGGGAGAGAAAGCCAGGCCCTACCCTGTACTGGGCAGGGACCTGAGAGGCAAGAAGCCCCCCAGGCCTGTGGCCGAGGATCTGTTGAGCTCTGGTCTCAGCACCTGAACTTTACCTTTGTTAGTTGCAATCAGTGAAATCGTTTCAAGCCTGTGGCTCTGGTCAGAAATCAGGCTGCTCTTAGCACTGCACCTCACTCCCTGCCTGGCCAAGCTGCCTCCATATCTTGATCCACAAATGTGTCCTGATTATCCATTCCTTTACTGTGGATTAATTATAGTCACCTCTCCCCTCCCTCCCCTCCCTCTCTCTCTCCCTCCCTTTCTTCTCTCTCTATCTCTGTCTCTCTGTCTGTCTGTCTGTCTGTCTGTCTCTCTCTCTCTCTCTCTCTCACACACACACACACACACACACACACCCCTAAACTACCACAGAAGTCCTCACTGGGTCCCCATCTTGCTTCCACCTGCCTCTAACCCATTCCCACCATAGCAGCTTTGGAAACAGCCTTGGGTCTGAGCTGGACTCATACAAAGACATTGCACTTTGGCCTCCATCTGAACTCTTTTTCCCTGCAGAGCCGTGCACAGTCTGATCCTCCTAAACCCAGTCTATTCATGCCTCATGCCTGTGGTTCCAGGTTCCACTTACCGCTCCTCTTCTGGGACTTTGTGTATGTTGTCCTTCAATGTGCACCAGAAACTTCTAGCACTCAACTTCACTAAGACCTAAATAATTCCTTCCCCCAATCATTCTAAGTTAGGAGTGTCTCTTGTCATTCTTCCTAGTGAGTTACTTGCTGGAGGATTTGTTTACTGGATATCTTCTCTTCCCACTAGACTGTCAGCCACTCAAGAGCAGGACCACACTGAGTTACTAGCTAGCCAATGTCCAGCCACCCACACGAAGACCTTTGTATATGTAAGCAATCCACAAATAGTAACTCCCTGAATGAACTGACAAACAGGTAAATGAAGGAGAACGTGGCATTGAGAAGTGGCCCAGGAGGCAAGTTTCTGTAACAGACCATGTACCCAAAGTTGGCCTTGTCTACTTCCACAGCTAAGAAACCTGTAAACCTCTACACTGTCCATGATGGGGCTGTCCACACTGTTCAGAGGTCCCCTTTCTACAACGACATCATCCTCACTATTGGGGGCTGGAACGTGGCCATCTGGAAGGAAGAAGTCATGGTAAGCTGCCCGCAGAACGGAGTGGGCGGGCGTGCCTTTGTTACTGAGAAAGACAATGGGAGCAATGACTGTTCTAGTTCATCATGCCCGTGGGGCACTTTATAGAGAAATGAGAACAGATGGCCTGGCTCTAGCTCCTCAGCAGAACCACTGGGAGTCTTTGTAAACACCACCACGTGGCTTTCTTTCCAGAGAGGAAGTAAACAGCACAGCAAGGCTCTTGTTCTCGAACCCAACCCAATAGTGTTTGTTCTCGAGAATATCTATTGTGGGCAGCTCCTCAGACTTGAGTTTTCCTCCTTGTAAAGCAGGGGGTGGGACCCTGATGACTAGAGGAGCCCCGGGGATCACTGGGCAGCCTCTTGTCTTCTGCGCCAGCAGCATGTTGGCAGGTTCAGGAAGCTGGCATCTGTAGACTGAGGGCCCAGGGACAGCCGAGCATTGCTTGTCCAAACACATGTGTGCACTGGTAAGATCTGGTCATGATTAAGAGATGGGCCCTGCCAGATGGGAGCAAGACTGCCAAGACAAACAAACAATAAAAAAAAAAAAAAAAAACAGTTAGATCCAGTGAAGCAGGGCAGGGCAAACTGGTTCTTTTTGGTGGGATTTCTGGATTACTATGCCCCTTTGAGAGAAATATGAGATTGTGAAAACCTGGAGGAACAGGGACAAGAGGCAGAGCACATATGTGTGTCACAACTGGAACATACATGCTCGCCCACCAAATAGCCCCCCCCAGATATCTAATTCATATAAATAATTCTAAAAAGAAACGTGTGTCAGCATTTGCACACGGAGTGTCACTGAATAAAACTGAAGGCTTAAAAATTAAACTTAAATCTCCACAAACTTTCTGTCAATAATGAAGGCTTCATTTGTTTTGCTATTGTTGTTTGTTTGTTTGTACAAGGAGGAAGGATTTTTTAGTAGAAAAAGAAAACTCTCCCGGCGATGGTGGTGCACACTTTTAATCCCAACACTTGGGAGGCAGAGGCAGGTGGATCTCTGTGAATTCCAGGCCAGCCTGGTCTATAGAGTGAGTTCCAGGACAGGCTCCAAAGATACACAAAGAAACCCTGTCTCAAAAAATAAATTAATAAAACAAAAAAAAGAGAGAGAGAGAGAGAGAGAAAGGAAGGAAGGGAGGGAGGGAGGGAGGGAGGGAGGGAGGGAGGGAGGGAGGGAGGAAGAAAGAGAACGAACTCTGGTATGATTTTCAGAAGACTGGCAGGAACCAAAAGCCCCTCCCCCCATCAGAGACTAAATGTATTGAGAGAATGGGGACAGAAAGGCTTGGAGGTGACCAGGCCTGGGCAGTCTTCTGTCCTCATGACAGGGTTTCCTATGCATGGAATTGACTTGTGGGAGACAATCCCATGCCTTGTTTTAGTCACCGAACTATAAAGGACACTTGGACATACCTCATGGGTAGGTGGACATGCCAGTAGCGTAAAGCATATTCCAATCTCTTTCCTCTGAGACAACTTTCCCAAGTTAGCAAATTATCTCATGGTGGAAAGGGGGGAAATGATGATTCCCTTATGCTTTGGTGCCCGAGAGTCTCTCCCAAACATAGCTACAGCCATCTAGACTGGCTTATGAAAAGTCTGCGGGCGCTGCTGCTGGTTTGCAGCTGGAGTGCACAGCTGCATTAGTTCCTTTTGGGCCGTGGTGATGAAAACCCCTCAGCAATAACTTAAAGGAGCAGAAATCTCGCCTGCCTGACTGGTATGTGGTTGTGTAGCTCAGTTAGTTCTCGTCCCTCCCACGTCAAAGCAGCATGCAGACAAAGATGCTCACCTCTCCGCAGACAAGAAGCAGAGGCACAGGATCGGGTGTAGGCTTCAAAGGCGAGGCTTTCCTCTAGCTAGGTCCCACCACTTGAAGTTTCCAGACCATCCCCCAAACAGCATCACCAGCAGTGAGCCAAGTATTCGACCGTGAGTCTGTGGGAGATACATATTCAAATCATCACAGTCGTCTTTGTGTTTGCTTTTTGTGGATGCTCGGACTGTTTCCATGGGCAACAGGTCTCTGTCATCAAGATAAAGTTAGAGGAGAAACAGCCTCACATGCTCCTCAAATCTGCTGTCCACAGATCCTCATAGAAACAGCCAGGCAATGGGGATATCAGGACCAGAAACTAAATTGGAAGGTTCAATCTCTTCTAAAAACCAACTACTTTCAGAGGCAATGGGGATATCAGGACCAGAAACTAAATTGGAAGGTTCAATCTCTTCTAAAAACCAACTAAAACAAGAAAGAAAAAGGTTGCTTATAAAATATATGAGAGAGAAAAATAGCTTGTCCTATATAAAAGCCCACAACATTGCTGACCAGATGGCCCAGTGGTTAAGGGTGGAAGGAGAGAACCAGTTCCACAAAGACGCCCTTCGACTTCCACATGGGCACTGTGGCGTGCACCACTGTCTCCGTGTCTCTGTCTCTGTCTCTCTCTCTGTCTGTCTTTCTCTTAAAACAATAAAACCCTACAACAAAAGGAAGTAAGACTCCCAGTGGGATAAACTTATGGTTAAGTAATAATGGCCAACTGAGCTGTACTTTTAGAGAAAAAAAAAAGATTGAATTTTCCTTGGGTCAGAGCAAAAGCTTTCAATGTGTCCTTTACACTGTGTTTAGACTGGACCGCTCCTTCAGACATGCTGCGCACCGAAAAGGTACACAGCAGGGCACTGGTCACTGACGCGGCCTGGCGTATTCTACATCGGCCGAGAAGATGGATACGTCGATATCTGGGACCTCCTGGAGAAAACCCACGAGCCGGCCCAGTCCCAGAATATCTGCATCACCATGATCACCTACATCAAACCCTGGACCTTTTCCAGTATGTTCATCTAATCCTTCGAGCAACGGGTTTGGAGAAGCTAGGAACGCTTGGGCTGGGCGTACACCCGAAAAGGCCCTCCCTCTTCCCGTGTTTTCCTCCAACTGGCCGTGCCTTCTGATCCCCACGCTTCCCTTAGTTTCTCCAATAACATTCCCTTCTTTCTCTCCATCTTGCTCCCGGACTCTGGGAACGCCAAAAGTGTCCCTCACTGTTTGGACTCCTCAGCCATGATTTTTCAGACTTCTGATCAGGTCCAACCGAGGCTGATTTTGAACCACAAAATGGGAAGCATCTGCTAGCCTTCACAGAGTATGAGGGAGTGGTCCTAAATTTTTGCTGCTTTTTGGCTATTTCTTTCCAGGAATACTGAGTCAGCTTTTTAAATATCATGTACTTTAGTGACGCTCCCAATGACCACGTCAGGCACCTCCCTTCACGGCATCACAAAACTCTCTAGGGTTATAGATCTACTAAGCCATAGTGTCTGGGTTGAAAATGAGTAAACAGCAATATCCTACCTACCAAACAAGCAGAAATCCAAGGACATAGCTATAGAAAAGTAATTTATTCCCTTGTTTGTTTGTTTTTTTTTTCTGCCTGTTTTTCTAATTTGTCTCTTTGGCTCAAATAGTATTTTCTGTGTAACTCCAGGATGCCTGTCTTTACTGGAAGAACTTCCCCTTTGTTTCCAAAAGTCTATAGGCACAAGGTTTTCTCAATGATTTTTTTCTAGAAACACCCCACCCAGAGACTCAGGCTTCATTCAGGATCTCTAGAGCATCTGCCTGGTTCCCACTTAGCCATGAGGCGCGAGCAAAGCTTGTTCTCCTACCCTTGGTACAAAACACTGGCTTCGTACCGGCAGGGTTATGAGTGTAGCATTCAGGAATTTGAACCAGACCTTCTGAAAGCAAGAAGAGGGAAGCATCCAGGAAGCTTGGGGAACGAGCATTCTCACTCTGTTCATTATTATTATTGTTGTTCAGTGTTTTGTCATAGGAAAACCGTGGTTCGAGCTGTGTCTCAGAAACATGTCTACACAGCACGATCCTTCAGCTCTTGCTGTGTTGGCTCAGGTGGGCTTTCCTCAGATGGCAGAGAAAGTTAGCTATCAGCTCCTCTCCTTAGACAGACACCAGGAAAGCGAGATTTGAGGTGGCAGGAAGCTGACAAAGACTCGGGGTTTTAGCTTTCATCCCAGCAACTGGAAATAATGACTTGTCGGTATTTACATAGTCCAGCCATGGGCGCCTGACGGAGCGCCAAGAGCGCGGCCACCACAGCAGGTCCTTCGGGAAACCACACAACAAAATAGCTTTTGCGTTTAGCCTCTTCAGAGGACTTTCTGTTTGTTGACTCTCTCCTTTTTTCTAACCCTCCAGCGAAGCAGCAGTTTATAGCCATAGCCGATTATTATGGAACACTGCATATCTTAGAAATTCCATGGACACTGAGCCACCCTTCCTTCAATGAGGTTAGTAAAGTCCCGGCTTCCCGAGTTTAATGTCGCTGATGCATTTCTTTGTCTAAAATTATACTTAATTATTTGCGTCTGGACGTTGGGGAAGAACTTGCGGGACTTGTTTCTCTCCTTCTACCATGTGGGTACCAGGGATTGAACTCGGGGCAGCAAACTTGGCAGCAATCACCCTTTCCTGCCAAACCATCTTGCCATCCTTTGGGGGCATACCTTAAAGGTGTGTTTAAAATGGTGGCCTTTTAAACTTGGGACATTTTAAATAATAAGAGAATATTTTATCATGTGAATTAGATAGTTTGAAGCTAAGGAAAATAATCACACATTTGAAGTCAAATGAATGATGTGGGTAAGTCGTTCTTTTCAAACTGTAACTGAGTATTAGCTCGGCCATGTCAGAGACACCCTTCCCCAAGGACTCTGACGACACATCATACATCTATCATCCTCCCTAATATCTGCATACTGCTGGCCCTGCATCTGAGCCACAGTACTCTGCCCCTCCAACCGTATACTCACCATCTAAGTGTTTCGAGCAATCCTAAGAATGAGGGTGTAAAAGGATTGATGACTGAAAAACATACATATATATATATGCACTCACATTAAATGTATAGATTGCAGTCTATTGCATCCCAGCATCACGCTAGTTCCGGACAGGCAGCAAGCTTGCCCTGACTGCCTTCCCCAAGGGAGGTCTCTGTTGACTCCCTCCTGATGTTCATATGAGTGCATGCTAAGCCTGCTGGGGGAATGCATCTCTGCTTCTAGTCTCTTTAAAGTCTCCAGAGAGGGCTGGAGAGATGGCTCCGCCATTAAAGGCTAGGCTCACAACCAGAAATATGAAGTCTCTGTAACTATCTTCAGCTGAGTTTACCAAGTTCAGTTGAGGACATGCAACTCCAGTCTCCAAAGTAAGAAGGGAGAAAAGAGGAAAAAGCAAATACTACCGTAAAAGCAAAATCTACTGTAAAAATTGAAGGTTTTTACAGCTCTCTCCTTCCAACTATAACGACAAAAACCACAGGGGCCTAAATGTAAGCACAGAAGCAAGCACACGGAGCTAACTTCCCTGACGTGCAGGCGCACCTCCAGTTCACACCCCACTAAGGGATGAGAAACATTCTAGTTGGTTCTTCCGCTCATGGTTCAGAAGGTGGTTATACAGTTTTGGTCAGGTGGAGTGGGGAAATGCGGTAGGAAAATCCTAACCACAGAGCAGCAGGCATCTGGACAGAGCCTTGGAAAGACCACGGGCGTCCCTGTGGGGCTAGCTCATCACAGGCCTTTGCTTCTGGCAGGTATCGAGTGTGAACTACTACTTTGAAAGAGAGGTCAGGCACCTGGAATATGTCCAGCAGCGCAAGTTGATCCGTGATCAAGAAAAGAAAGAAATGGCCCTGGAACTGGTGAAGAAAAAAACCGTGAGTGAGATTTCAGAAAGGAGAGATGCCTCTGCCTCCTCCCCGTGGGAAAGTGTGGCCAGGCTCACCCCGCAGGAGTCCTGTGCACTCCACAGCTTTCTGCTTTCCCTTATGAGAACCAAGAGGACATTTCTTTGGTTTCCTAGGCCACTACGAGTGACAGTTACCTGTCAAGCACACCATGAGATCCTACCCCATTTCTATCTGTTTATTGCGTGTGGGTGTGTTCTGTATGTGGCGGTGAGGCTGCAGACAACTTACATACCTCAGAGGGCACTTTACATAGTCAGTGCTCTGTCATGTAAGTCCCGTGGAAAGAACTCAGGTCATCAGGCTGGGCAATAGGCACCATACCCACTGAGCCAGCGCCCCAGCCCTGCTAACAGAGAGAGTCTGTCCGTGCCATCCTTCTGTAACTCACTGTAATTCTAAAGTCCTTTCGTGTAGATACAAAGATCCCCAGGAAAGTGCTTCCGTTACATGGAATTCCCATGTCTGGAGAGCGTTGCATTGAAACAAGCCATGAGCTGTCTACCAACAGCTACCTCTGATGCTCGCTGGAAGGCATTTGGCTAAATCACGTGACCACTGCATCAAACGGTTATTAGGCTAAGGATGGTAGCAGAAAGGCAGAGAGGGGTGTCTTTTGTCGTGCTGTGATGGGCAGCACTGTGAACCCTGACACCGAGACGTGGGGAGCATGTCCACCTTGCATGCAGCCGTCAGAGGAACAGAGCACTCTCCGGGCCACTCTCCTCCGTCCCTCTCTCAGGGACGGGAACGCTGGAGCTGGTTCTCTGCCGTCTGCTAGAACTGGGTTTGCAATCATGTCTCTTGTCGGTTTGTCTCCTCCCTTGCCACTCTGTCAGCACAGATTCCTAACAAACCCCACCTGTGGCCTCTTCGCAGCCAAGCACACAGTAGCTTTCGAAGTAACTTTCTGGGCAAGAGCCCAGGTCTCTAAGCAAAGCAGCAGATGTGACTACAGTGAGGTCCCGTACACATCACCCACTGATAGACCCACGGTCACACAATCAAAGCGGCAGATGTGACTACAGTGAGGTCCCGCACACATCACCCACTGATAGACCCACGGTCACACAATCAAAGCGGCAGATGTGACTACAGTGAGGTCCCGCACACATCACCCACTGATAGACCCACGGTCACACAATCAAAGCGGCAGATGTGACTACA